CTTCAGGAAGATGTGCGAATGCAGATACATCGATATTTGATTGGGGCTGCCCCCTATAGGGTAAAGGAATATTGTTGCAAGAGCCATAAGTGGCTATAACTTCCCCACAAAGTAACATCATCTCAGAGACAAGTCGCATTGCAGGGTCAGCCTGGTTTTCAACATAGAGGTTAATTGAAGGCTCTGGATCTTCTGGATTAGGGACCTTGATGCGAGTTTCTAATGTGGCTGTGTCAACTGCACCCTGAAAAATGCATGAGCACTTAAATGTCACAGAAATAAGAGCCCAAGAATCTTGCTACAAGGTCATAGATTATCTCAAGAAAGTCTTAAATATATTGGCCTTGACAACCTTAACCTTCCGCACTAAAGTGACAGGCTTCAAAACCTAATCATGAATTCAAGCACATTACTGTGTAACTGTAAGCATAATCAGTGATTTGATAGTAGATTACCATTCTTAAAAAGAAAGGAGTTCGCAACCTTATTGAGTAAGCACAACCCTCCATGCAGAGAAACTATAAAAGTGAAAAGGATAGGTATACCAGTTTCTAAGAAACAAGCGCATGTAAAATATGCATTTGTTTTTATTGTTATCCCTAATCATCAATGTATCCATCAGATATCATTAATATCTTCACAGCTATCAATTTGTGGAAAGCCTAAAGCCATGAATACATATTGCAAAGCAGCTAGTCCTCTTAGCATAATCAGTGAGAATAACTTTCAATGTAAAATGAAAATTATCCAAGAAAGATTCTAAAAATAAAAGGTACAGACAGGAAGAGGGAAAAAATTGATCAAATCCAATCTTAACAGTTTTGTACATATTTAGAACGTAATTTGATTGTATATTCAAACCAACCTGTTCACAACGCCACTGTAACCGAAGAGATGCAGCCTCAGAAAGAAGTTTTAATTCAGCTTCCTCATCCAGGTTCATATGAAGCAACTCAGATGCACTCTCGTATGTCAGCATATAGGTTGGTTTAATGATTGAGTTATCCACAGAGTATTCTGCAATGCTATCCAGCATAGGGCATAAAATGGTCTTCATTAATAAAATAAAATCTTTTACAAGTCTTGACACTTCAGTTCATGAGCATTTTTACAACCAATCTAAAATAAAAGTACTGTTGATCAATATGTTGATGAACAATAGACAGTGGTACCTGAGAGAATATTCTCCTATCAACACCAAAGTTCAAAATATGGAATGAAATTGGCAAGCAAATATTACCAATTTTTTACAGGCCCAGAGGCCAGGTCAATAATCTAGAGAACTTCGATAGATGTGGGTTTACACTCCAGTGACTTCCAAATAGCCAACAAAGCACAGGATAATGTCTCTGATGGCTTCCTACAACACACTTACTTAAAAGTTCTCTATTGTAAATTTGTAGGTAAAACCTTAGTTGAGTAAAATCAAAAGCCATTTCAGAGCTAGCATAAGAGATAAGTCCCAAGATATCTAAAGTACCTATATTATTTATGAGATCCTAATGTGCACAGCATTCCTGAAGTTCCATTTATACTTGTACAAACTAGAGCATTGCAAATTAAATCTCACAGAAAGCATATCCAAGAAATCTATTTTACCACTTACCAGCCATCAGAATGCAGAATAACAGATACAGTAACAGCATTGCAAACCTCTCCCTGTTTCAAACTCATTCCTTCCATCGCAAGTTTCTCTGGAAACATGGGATAAGTAGCGGTGGGCAAGAAAACAGAAGTCCCTCTTCTCATTGCCTCTCTACACATTAGGAAATGCCTCAACATTTTGAACATGACTAATATAAACAAAAGGTAGTTCTTCATCTATGGAACAAAATCCCAAACAATACCTGTCTAATTTACTCCCTGGCTGTACATACCGTGCTGGATCTGCAACATGTATCCAAACTTTAATTCGCCCATCCTGTAACCTCATTGCACTCAATGCATCATCAAGCTATAGGAAAACCAACACGATTCAAGATTAAATATCCATACAGTAGGAAAAGATCAAGGGCAATTTAGAAGTCTAAAAAAAGATGCAATCCATAAACATGCAGTGGAAGTTACCTCATCAGCCTCGTCAACATCAATGGCATAGACTTTCAAGTGAGTGAGATCTTTTCTATTAATCTAAACACAAAGAACACAAAATGAGCAAGAAGAGTATCAGACCAAAAAAAATAGTATAAGAGAACAACTCATATATTGTTTTCTTGAAATTAGCCAGGAAAATGCTTGTATCCCTTGTTTGAAACTTGGCATACGCAACATTAAAACTAAAAGGGAAGCAAGCCTGCCTTGTCGGGGTCAACTGGCTCTGATAGAAGATCTTCAGCAGCTGATATGATCTCATCCGGATGATCAGTATGAATGTTGAGCTTCAACATATCAAGATTGACATGGACAGGAAAGTATCCAATATCTATGAGGAGGTTTAATGCAGAGGATGCTGTTTTCCCCATTCCCATTGCTGTGAGGATCTGACCCACCAAATAAAAGGGAAAAGAAAATCATGTGCAGAATAGCAGATGTTGAATACTTAAGAAAAAAACAAGCAGCAATGAAAAGATTTCATGTTTTCTTTTACTCTTTTCATGAAACTAATGCTTCCTGAAGTATTTTGTAGGAGGTTTCATCTGGTTCAGCCTAGCAAACTTGGTGAAGTTAAGAAAGATTACCATCCCTGCAATTCTCTTTTGGTCATTGCTTTTGCATGCATCAATTGCATATGCTTCAAGAGACTCAATTTTGCATCGGATTTTCTCTTCAACCACCCATGAAGTTTTGGGGGGTTTTGCATTTGAAGGCATTGCCTTGGCAGATTTCAGTAGTTGCACAAAATCCTGAAGTTCTTTCTCAGCAGCTTCCTTTGCAAGCTTCCTACGCATAAGTTCTTCTACCTAGCTTTTCAAATAAATGGAATATTGCTTACCATAAAATAGAAGAAAACTAAAAACATTGAATTTGCAAAAAGTGATCTGCTAAAGAACATGCATTAGTAATAGATCCACTTTAAAGTTTAAACAACTTATTTACTACCAATATTAAGACCACCAGCAAGAGGCAGGAGTTAACAAAGAAGAAGACAAAAATTAACCAGGTTTCAGTTGAACAAGACAAACATAGAAAAGCCTGATCTCATCCTTAACGGCATATCAAGCCAGCATAGTAAGAAACCTAGTCCAATTCCAGACAAATGCCTCTGCAAGTTTAAAATCGTTTTGAGGTGGGCAAAATAGAAAAAGCTTCAGACCAGGAGTAAATCATCACAATCCTGTGGGGACAAGTGCCTTAGTAATATATGATCAAATTAATTATACATACACTAAAGAAAAAGGTAATAAGATATAGCTCCTTGATTTCTTATGTTATAGTTGTTATGGATTTCCTACCATGGAAGCAATTGAAACAAGATATGGTTTTACCAGGATTCATTATAAATTGTCCGCTACCACAAAAAAAATCAGATAATGCAACTGCTCAGATGGTAGCAGTTTTAAATCATTCATAGCTGCTGGCTTTTCTCAAACCACAGTAACATCAAATGAAACATAACATACCAAATCCATAAATCAAGGCTAGCAAGAATTTTATGCCTTTATGGAATAAATTTAATTAAATATAAAAATAAAAGGCATCCACCTGCGTAGGAGGTCGAGGCCCATAAATAGAGCGAGAACCTTTTGTCTCCAGCACAGTGAAATATAGATCATCCTTTGATAGCAAAAGATGGGCACAATAACTTTCAAGAGGCTCCACGCTGCCAAAAATCATCTGCAAATTAGGGCAGGAACATCATTAGTGGAGAAGTGAGACATGAAGCTGTAACAAAAATTGGAAATTCCAAGGTAGAGTACCTCGGCTAATTCTTCTGGTGTAACTGACTTATTCTTTTCAAGAAGCTCAATCCAAGCAAACTCAAGCAACGAGGAGTCCTGCACCATATTAAAACATGCTAGTTTTATGTACACACACACTTATTTAAAACAGCGGCCCATAACGACATGAACTAACCAAGTTTTGCTGAGCTTTCTGAATAAAGCTTGAGATTTGGGTTTGGTCAAAATTATCAACACCGGGAACAATATAAGTAATCTGTTGGGGTTTAATCGAGGAAGTAACACCATTCTAAACTACACAGAGAAAGCACAATAATCAGTCATTTAATCTCAAGCGTCTAACAAAAACAAAACCTTAGTTGTGTTTCTACTTGAACCTGATCGTACACCATCCAATTCTTCTTTCCATCACGTCTCTGCACCACTGCCAGCAATACTCTCTCTGAATCCTTCTTGAACTCCACTAATAATCCTTTCTCCACCGCTTGGTTCACCAGTTTATCATCTAAAGCCTCTCCACCCGTCGTTAATCTGCCCAGTCATTATCATTTTCCTTTTCAATTACACACATCAAAATCATATAATAATAATTACAGATATTTCTTCTTAATAATAGATTAGGAAGGTCAAGATGAGACGGAACTTGATAGCAGAGCAAATGCCTTGGCGTTTGCGTTTGCGATAAGAAGCCAGCTCTTCCAACACCGTATCAACGAAACTTTGAAGGGAGTAGCTTCGTACATCGCCATGACCAAGAATTGGAAGGTCGAACCGGAACATAGGGAAGCTAATGCCTGATTTGGAGTAGCGGTCATGGTGCGAGGAGGAGGTGGTGGTCCTCAAATGGTTATTGAGACGGCAGCGGAAGGAAGAAACGGGAGGTGATGAGCGAAATATAGAGCAAGAGGTAACGGCTCGAACCGAAATCATTTTTTGTAAGAGAAGAAGAAGAAGAAGCCTCCCTCCTCGGTTACAGATTTTTTCTATTTTTTCTTTTTCTTTAGATAAGCTGAGCCTTGTGTCTACTCTTTCAGAGTTGCTGAAACGCTGCGTTCAAAACCTCTTGTTGGGCCTGGGCCTGATAATTCTCAACAATCAAATACAAGCTGCACCCCTATATGCTCGGACACATGATTCCCTGAAACTGTATCCGCTCCTGCCTGGCCACCAAAGCCGCGTAAGATATTCACTATAAAATAAAATTATTATAATATTCTCACGAAATAAAAGCCTCGTAGCTGGTTATAGTCTTAAAAAACATCAACTGATAGTTACAAAGGTAACAGTGAAATTTACACAATGATTCAATACAAAAGAGTGTTGGGAACATGGGACGGGGAGGGGATAGTAACTGTCTAAAAATATGAACGGAATTGCTTTCGAAAAGCTGGGACCAATTATATGATTTGTACATGTATCTGGCTAGTGTCCTCTTCCATCCACACAACTTGCATAATTCAACGGCAGAGCCCAGTGCATAACCCCTGAATCTGAGAACTCGTTGCGCCAGGCAATATGTACACGCTGGATTTTCCATTGCTCGAGCACGTTAAGTTCAGCTGGTTGCCTATTTGGGTGGACTGCAATATTGAGATATTTGCAGCATCAGGCTTAAGCTTATGGTATATTTCACAAAACACAAATTAAAATGCAAATCACAAACTATTTTCAATGGCTAATCCTATGCATGGCGAACATGCATTTAAACCCTACACTCTGTCTGCACATTGTGACTCTTGCTTTTCAACAAAGCATTGTCAACATGTCCGCAACTTGCATAATCATTAGCACCTGATCCAAAAGGATGCAATGGCCAAAAAACGTAACATCAATGTTTCCATTCAGATTTTTAAAACCCATCCAGCATTCGGTAAATAAACAAATAAATTAGGCCATTGAATCCATTTGACAAAGTGATCCAGATTTGTGAAAGGAAATGGTCCACCTGTAAATGGACAAAACTTTCTGATGTGTATATATATACATATAACATGCAGGAGAGCGGGTGTGTGTTGGGAAGGGGGGATTAGTTTTGTTACCAAACAGTATGCAGGCTCGGTTTTGCAACTCCATTTTCCAGTAGGGACGCAAGACAAATAATGACACCATGAACAGTGTTCATTTGCATCAACTCCCCGGAGAAGCAGAACCATGCCAATGGTAAGACTGCAAATTACAGTTAGATTAGCGTAAGGTAAAGCATGCTATATGTAACTGTATGCATTACTAATGAACACTGAGAATTAGGCGAAGGGGAATAGCTGGATGGGGAAAAGATAGCAACAAAGGATGTTGTAATGTGGACCATGGGATATCAATCTCATGCGCATACTAAGTTGCCAAACAAATTGCTTGACGTCTCCTATAGTTTTGGGGTGTCGAGGTCAGAAATACTTTAATCAAAGGAACCGAATTCGCTTAAAAACAGACAGCAGACTTTGAAATGCTTACCCAACAATTAAAAGGATTAGAGATATGATCCACAATGCACACTGATAGGTCTTGAACTTAGATTTTACAGAGGCTGGAATATACCCAAGAGGAGCATATCTTTGACTAAACCATCCAAACTGTGGGCGGATCAGGAACACAAACCCGAGGAGAAAACCAGAAAGAAATCCTCCAATATGGGCGAAGTTGTCAACATGTGGTAGAATTCCCAGTGCTAGATTGACAGCGATGATCACCAAAAGAGTAATGAAAGCCGCCACCTGAGCTTGTGCCGAGAATTGTAAGATAATGAGCTCAACAATATAAATCAGTACGATTCTGCTACCATCTTACAAATCATGCTTCAACTTGGTGATACAAAAAGTACCTTATTAGCATATATAGTCCAATTTGTGATGAGTTCAGAGAGCATGCCCCCAAGTAAACCAAAAAGTGCACCAGAAGCACCAACAGAGATATTCGATTGGATAAAAAGAGCCGATAACAAACTCCCACCAAATCCAGAGATGACATATAGCAAACCAACCTTTACTGTAAACCACCAATTAAACAGAAATGAGCCAAAAATATTAACCTGTAATAATAAATAAATATCTAAAAGTTTGTTGTGAACAGCTTGTTTTTTATACTATTGAGGGTTCTCAACTAGCAGAAAACATCGTGATACACTCAAAAAGTTTCATATATGCATTGCCATGTCCATGACATTTAACTTAGACTGCATCACAGACTTATACCTATATATCAAAGTTTCCACTTACATATTTCCCAATTGATGAACAAAATCGACAAGAAAAAAAGACTAATGGAGGGGGGAGAAAAAAGGCATAGTTTCAGATATGGACACTCATATGCAGACAAATAGAATGGTATTAGGGAGGAACAACTTAAAAAAGGGAGTTAAAACTTAGCGGTAGTGCACATCATGTACAAGGCTGCAAATGTTGCTCAATACTGCAGAAAACAGAACATTTGCCAGGTTAAAGTCCAAAATGAAAAATATCTTGAAACTAATTTGGGAATCAGACACCTCCAGAGCAAACTATCATTTCAAAAAGATGATACGGGTATAAACAACAAAGCAATTTGAACATTCCACGAGTTTTAGGCCTCAGACATTGAACAGAATAACAAAAATCACACTTCTTCAAATCACTGCTTTAATATCTATATCCTCGTCATTTATAAACATTAGCATTAAAATACTTAATATGTAACAAAATATGGTAATAGTTCCCTCTCCTTTCACTTCTCCCTCTACCCTTTTTGGTTCTATTCTTTTTAGTATACTACATCCATTTTTTAATCAAGAAGAAGAAAAGCAAAATTGTCTAGAGAACTGTGCATATGCCTAGCTATGTGCATCATGATGCTTCCCAGAGTAACCACAGTCTTTTATTGCTATAAACTCGACTTATTTTCCAATATCCTGTTCTTGTTCAAAATAGTTATTCACTCAGATAATTTGAAATTTTAAGTTTTTAATAATCCTCACCAATAAGACAAATTTTCCTCTTTGGAATAGTAAAGCACAAATATTACTACAGAAAGTTTTTTACTCTTAATCATTTTCCTCGTATAAGCAACATCGTTTCCTTGAGAGAGTTTACGGTGATTTAAAATTAATTCTACTACAATCTTTTTTAATGTCCATGACATCATATTGAAAGAATTTAGCAGGTGCTGAAACGTGATAATCAGTAATTTTTCAGATTTGTAATTGCTATATAAGCTATTTATGCACAGTAATGCAAATGTTAATGATGATGATGATGATGATGATGATGAAAAACCAAGTTAGAAGAACACACCAAACCCAAATTCCTGCTCGAGCCGAATGCCAATAACCAGAAGAGATAGCATATTCGCCAACAAATGAAAAACCCCTCCATGTAACCAATTGCAGGTGATGAGCCGCCAACCCTGATGTCCATCAACCACTTTCTGTACATCTAGAGCCCCCATCTTCTGTAGCCTGGAACAATATTAAGTACAATCAGAACCAGCCCTTTATTATATCTCAACGGTTTTTAAACTTACCAGTCCATGAGTCGTATAGACTGCAAGCAGTCTGATCACACACGCCCAAAAAAAAAAGGAACTTACGAGATGGATGAAGGACCAAGAAGAGGGTTCTCTTTGAAGGGCTGAAAAGAGAACCTACCCAAGAACCGAGCAATACAAGAGACATAGTTCTTGGGACAGTTGTTGACATACATAGTGATAATAAACATAACAACATTGGCAATCACAAAAGCAGGTATTAACCAAGGCCACCATTTCTTGGAAGGCCTAGCTTTTCCATACACCACTGGACTTGGAGATGATGACGATGCCATTGCCAGCGACACTTGATGATTAGGTGTTTCTATCTCTGCTGGGTGTATAGTAGAGTTGTTTCCTCCTCTTCTTGAATTCACCCTGGTTTGGATCTCTGATGGAGGAACTGGATATTGCTTTTTCTCCATTGAAAAAAGAAGAAGAAGAAAAAGTCGTAGGAGAAACAAGAGATGATAATCAGCCTAAATGACAAGCGAATAAATGCAAGCAGGATTTAAGAGAGTGTGAATTGAAAAGGGAGGGAGCGATTACGGTCATTAAATGAGGGCGCTGCCGAGTCTTTTTTTATGTTTTCTAAAGTATTTTTTTTATTTGAAAATATATTAAAATAATATTTTTATATTTTAAAAAATTATTTTTATAACACTATATCAAAATAATTTCAAAATATTTAAAAAATATTAATTAAAAATTACAAATTACAAATTTTTTCAAAAATATTTCTGAAAAAAAAGAAAAAAAGAGCAGGGTTAGTCAGCGGTTTCACCAGCTCCTCCTATATTTTGAACGAGACGGCACCTTGCGTGTCAACATGTCATTTTTTTGCCCACCTCATTGCAACAAGTTAGTATTTAAAATCCATCAATTACCTAATCCACTCGTAATTAAGTTGAAAAAAAATCCAACATTAACATTAACAATAAAATTAATTAATTATTAAAATTGACATTAACAAATAAACTAAAAAAGGATTGGTTGTTTACTGTACTCTCTCTATTCATACTTTCACGTATCATTATTTACGGCATTGTTTACTAGGCAGATTGTATCCTTAAGTCCTTCAAATTTGTTATTTGGCCATCTAGCTCCTTAGTGTGTTTTTGTTATTCTTGGATTTTTTATTCTCTTTTGCTATTTTTTATTAATAGCAATGTTCGCAAGGCAGATTTCCATTCCAGGCCCCTCGTATTTTTTAAATGTTCCAATGTGATCATCAAACTTTTTTTTCTTTCAATTTAGTCCTCACAAGTTTTATTTTCACTACACTCGAATCATTTTTTTCTTGTGTCCAGTGGGTCACAGATCATACTAGATTTAAATGACAAGTCATTTTCGATCTGTTTCAATTTATTCATCAAACTTTTCTTTTCAATCTGTTCCCCCACGTGTTATGTTTTCTTTGTTCCTGGATTGGAGAAATGACAGGTCAATTTCATATAACTTATTTTCTAATTGTAGTAAAAAAATAAAATCAAGATAACAAGAATTAAAATTGATATTAATAAAAATTTAATACCTTTTTTCTCATAAATATTGCTCAAGGGATGCATAAAACTATACTTTAGTCCCTACATGTTTAGTTTTTATATATGGTTCCTTTTGTTTTGGATTTTTCATTTTCACATCAAATATTATTTTTTCACGTTTAAGTCATTAGATCTTTTGAGAAATAAAATTATTGTAAGAATTTAGAAGAGAGAAAGCTCTTGGATGTCCTAATCTTGACAACCAAACAACCAATCACTTTAATTTTGATGTTTTGTATATTTGTCTTTAAAAAAGGACTCAATGGAGGTGGTTTTTCACATTTAATGATATAAAAAAATAAATCAAAATTTAATAAGTTTATTTTATTTTATTGATTTATAATTTTTAGATTAATCAAAATATATTTTGTTGTTAATAATAAGGTTTTTAGAGATTTACGAAGAGAGAAAATTTAGGTTGTAAGTGACTAATAAACTTGAGTTTTGATTTTTTAATCAATAGCCATCTCCAATAACGAGAAAGGCTGTAAATTAATGATGCATTGTTCGTTCACTTTAAATAAATAAATAAATAATGGGTAATGTGTTGTTTTCTTTTCTTTTTTTAAAAAAAAAAACTAAAACCTAGGCGCGCAAATTTGGAATTTCAAGCATTTATTTTTTTATCTCTTGCATTTTACAATTAGATTTTTTTAAATAAATTTATTAAAATGATTTTTAAATAATTATTCAATTATCCAATTTTTGAAATAATGTTTGTATCTTTTATCATAATATTAATAACTATTTCCAAATAATTGTATGTCAACCTTGAATATCAGATGCGTATCAAACATTTTTGTTTTTAGTTTTTTTATTATAAATTATTATATATATATATTATAAATTTGTTATTCTTATATTTTTTAATATATTAATATAAAAATTACCCATTCATTCTTTTTTTGATCAAAACTTTCTCTTAGAATTGTTTATAAACAAAGGGGTTTTTCATTAAAGAGATACATTTTTTATTCTTATTTTAAATTGTTAAAAAATAGATATTTATTTTAATTGATTTTAGTTTTCATACAATAAACATCATAGTTCAAAGAAAGATACCGTGAACGCGTGAGCTTGACTTGTATAATCTACTTTTTTAATAGAGTGTTTGGTATTATTTCATTATAAATAATAAAATAAAAGTATTAGGTTTCTCTTGAATCCGAGAAAGAGAGAGAGAGAGAGTACTCACAAATTTTGATTGATAGTGGATTCTAAATATTAAATGGAGCTTATGGATCGAATATAAACCAAGATATGATTGGAATAGGATAAATTATTGTACTTTATTCTCCATCCATAATTTCTTTAAATTATTGTATTGCTCTTTTATTCACAAGTTATTTATTTATATTGCCTTCGAAGTTTGTATTTCTCCATGGTTTTCATCAAGGCCTGTTCACGTTCCTTGTGAACCTATCTCGCAGCCCTTTAATCCTAACATGCAGAGGTATCTCTTTATAACCTAGATATCTCGTGACACGTATGCACACACATTAAACCCAAGCCTTTTGATATATTTGTTTTTCTTTTTATATTTTATTTTTAAAAAAAAAATTAAATTTTTTATTTATTTTAAATTAATATATTTTTAGTGTTTTCGGATCATTGTAATGTACTGATATTAATATTTTTTTAAAAAAATAAAAAAATTATTACTATATATTTTAATATGAAAAATTATTTAAAAAATACATGTAATTACTATTTTTAAATTTAAAAATCTAAAAGAAAATAAAATAAAAACTAAAAAAATCCATAAAAAAGGGACAAATTTTCTTGGACATATATTTCAATGCTCAATTCACCTTCTAATAAGAAAAATATATTTTAACTGACATCTTTCAAGAATTGTTTTTAAGAGAATTTTTTTTTTCTAGAAAGGTTTATGTGCAAACCTTTGGAAATCGAAACCAATTTGTCAAAAGAATTTTTATACGAAAAATGTTTTTGTTTAGGTATCTTTTTTCTTATACCAAGTTTCTCATCACTCACCTTTTTTCTTTGGAAGAAAAATGACCAATAAAAGGGAGATGTACTTGTAAACCTATTTAGCAGATACATTTAAGATGTAACTATTTCAAGGGACCATTATTGAGGGCAACCTTTAAATGGTTAATCAATTCCAAACCGTTTAAGTTATGTATATACCATATTATACTAAAAAATTAAATATTTTATAAATAGATTCATAGAATATAAATATATATTTTATGTTTAGTTCGAGTGAATTTTAAATCAAGTTTTATAATATTTATACTCTATTTATTATTTATCAGGTTCAAAATATATTATTTATTTGAATTCAAGAAGAGTTGATATCCATCTTATTTGGATTGAATTATCTTTTCTAATCTTAATATTCTCAGTTCATCTTTCAAACTGTCAGGTCTATTTTAAATGACCAACACCGGGGGCAAACTTTTACCATTGGTTAGACAATTCAAAGTTTAGCAAACCAGGTCATGGTCAAATATAGGTGTTGAATTTGTGGAATAAGACTACCATAACAACAAATTGGACTTGACACGTAGAATCCAAGCATAACGAAAATGGAAATATTCTATACATGCTGTTTGATCTAGAGTCCCTTCTCTGTAAACAAACACTCTCTCATCGTCATTTTACCTACTTAAAGCCTAGCATGACAAGCATAAATTATAGGCTGGATCATTAATGTTATTGCGCGCGGGAAAAGACCAATAAAACCATTTTGGGCTTATTATTGAAGCCCAATCCAATCCCTCCCTAAATCAAGTCTCGTTATATGTTATTGATTTAAACCCACTTATCATGGGTCTCCAACGGGTAAAATAATAAATATCATGATTTTTTTCACAAATAAAATAGAATAGTGCGGATGTAATTATATAAAATATTAAGGGCATTTATTTCAAGAAAAAAATTAAAAAATTTAAAAAACACGTAAGATGTTAATTTACAGATTATGGACAACACAACTGTATTTTTGAATCCATATCTTGTCACGCTAAATGAATATTCCCGCAGCAATCATCCCTTCCAATCAAGAGTACAAATGCTGGACTTGAAAAAATCTGTCCACGTGCCTACCATGTGCATTTCCGTGTCCACACCCCACAACACCACCAAAAGCTGAGGGAAAAGTGAGGCCCACGTACTCAGGAAAAGTTTTTAAACACGGTGAAGGGTGCAGGGACCGTGGAACCGTGCTCGCAAGCCGGCACGCAACCTGTTCATTGAGTCCACTGTTAAAGCCGCCTATTTGGAAATTGGATTTTCTAACCTTAGGGAAAACCTCAAGAAAGTCCTCCAACCAGGAATCTTATCTAGATTAAGTCCTTAATATATGTTTTTGTGTCCATTGGACCTTAAAGTATTAAGGATCTATTCGATATAGCTGCTTTCATGTTAAATAAGGTTTAATAGGGATCTAATTGAGATAAAAGTTGGTTTTGTAGCTTAATCGAGATAACTAGCAGGGGACTTTCTTGGGGTTTTGGTTATCAGTTGGTGTTAGAGAACCCACGCGCTGAATAAACGAGTGTGTTACCAAGAGGATTCAATTATAATAAATGATGAAAGATATTTTTTCCGTTCCAGCACGGAAAAATCTCTCATCTCTTTAGACTTGAAACCAATTAAGCGCCAACTAGCCAGCCAAAGCATCCTTTTCCATCTGTGCTCTTCATCGCTGTTCCCTTCCAGTATCAATAATAATTAATATTCAAATAGCCGTAGTGCATCATTATTATTATTATAATTATTATTACCCCTCCTTTATCATTTCTTAATTTATAAAAACAAATCTCAAACGAACACCGTTGCATCATCAATTCTCTCTTTCTCTAGTTGTCGCTTGGCATCTGTTTCCTAGGGTTTCCAAAGAAATGGCTCCTCCTAATGATCCCAAACAAAGCGAAAGCGGTAGCGGTAGCGGTGGTGGCTTCTTCGCTTCGATCGCTTCCAGTTTGTCCAATTTTGGTACCGCCATGACCAGATCAGTCAACGGGTATCCAGATCGGTTTCTTCTTCTTCTCTTCTTCTTCTTCTTCTTTTTTCTCCAGTTCTTGATATATTTTGCTCATGGATTTGGATTTGGTTACAAACGATTCATCGCCCGATGTAATTATGTTCTAGTTTAGTGCCTTGGATGTAAATAGGATTTGTTGATGATCTGTTTGTTTCCTTATTTGTTTTGTTCGAATTGAAATCAATTTTTTTACTAGTATTTATCAATGATTTTATTATAATATAGCTTCATGAATGATCCATATCAGCGTGATTTATATCTTTGAGATGCGTTTCGAATTTTGATCGTGAAATGATGAGCGGGCTTGGGTTAATTTTAGTTGTGTTAAGCACCTGTCATGCTCAAGCTGGCAGAATTAATATTGAATAGGTTCTGGGAATCACACTTTTTTGCATTTGTCAATATGTTTGGTAAGCCAGGCGGAGGATATTTTTGACAATTTTAACAGTTTCGTGGTTTTGATTGGTTGTTGACAAGCTGCGTCGTTCTTCTTTTCTGCAGTTTAGTGCCATATGAAGGACTGGAAGTTGTCAATCCTGAAGGAGGCACAGAAGATGCTGAAGAGGAAGCAAGTAAAGGAAGATGGAAACAAGAGGTACACTGCTGTTCTTCTGTGTTTTGTGTGTGGTGACGAGCTAAAGTTAGTGCAGGAAGCTGGTTCAATCGAATGAATACGGTTGTTGGATTTGAAACACGATACTGGGTCTTTCCGGAACATGTTCCGGACAGCAGTGCATCTAATCAGCTTTGTAGTGCATATGTTCATGCAATTCTGTGCATCTGTAGGATGAGTTCTGACTTCAGATTAGTTTGGGACATCATGATGCTGGCAAGGAAAGAATAAAAGACACATCAGCTCAAGACCTGTTTAGCATAGTTTACAATTCTTGAATAGCTTTACAGGGGCGCATGTTCATATTAAATATTATCTTAAATATCAGCGGCACCAACTGAAACTCTACATGCTTCCATCAGGGGCAAGGCTTTGATGTTTTAAAATTGAATATAATTTTGAACTGTAGTCCGCCTACAATATATTAGATCAGTTTAGCTTGCATGTAGTCAAAGCTCTATTGGCTATATCCTATGGCTTCTCATGCAAAGTTATATGCAGTGCATGTCTGACATAGTAAGAAATGATATTCTTTTAGAAACCCAATTTCTAGTTTCATTGATGCTTAAATGAGCCCTCCTGTAGCAAGAAGATGCCTTTTGTATTTGGTGGAATAAAATGATTTAGTATTCTCATACAATAAATCAGAGACATGTGCATGTGATTATATTCATTTGTTGTTTTCTCGCTTTTCTCCAGGATCGGGACAGTTATTGGAAGATGATGCAAAATTATGTAGGATCTGATGTTACATCTATGGTTACACTTCCTGTACTTATTTTCGAGCCAATGTCAATGCTCCAGAAAATGGCAGAGGTTTGCTTTATTAGGCTATTACTTTTTAGAACGTTCATCCTATGTAATTTTATGAAGAGACTGATGGCACTGTATGGTCACAGTTGATGGAGTACTCGCACCTGTTAGATCTTGCAGATGAATGCGAGGATCCCTACATGCGTTTGGTGTATGGTGGTATGACCACTCTCCCTCTCCCTCTCCCCCTCACACTCACTTACTCTGTCCATGCATTTGTGGTATGAGGCTGATGATGTGGTGATTGCAGCGTCATTTTTCATATCTGTATACTATGCCTTTCAACGCACATGGAAGCCGTTTAATCCGATTCTTGGAGAGACTTATGAATTGACAAATCATGGAGACCTTAATTTTATAGCAGAACAGGTGAGATACATGTGAAATGTTAGCAGTTAGAGATTTATCTTTTAACCTTTTCTTTGAATGATAGTTTTCAAGCTCTACTGCTTTCCTGTCCTTCATTTCTTTGGTCTTTAAGTTGGATTTACATATATGGTAGCAAATTTTCAACTCATTGTGATACATCTTTTCTCACAGGTTAGTCATCATCCGCCAATAAGCGCCGGACATGCTGAAAATGAGCATTTTACTTATGATATCACTTCCAAGGTCAAAACTAAATTTTTAGGGAACTCAATCGAGATCTATCCTCTTGGGAGGTAAAAACATCCGTGGTTTTGTAGTCTCCTTTGATATGCTATTCTAGAACTTTGGAATCAGTTTAGTGGATATCTATATTTTTATTTATTTGTTGCGATTTTGAATGTAAGCTGAAGGGTGAAGGGGCAACATGCAGAAATCTCTATCACAAATAATTTTTTTTAAAGTAATACAGTTACCTGTGTATTTAACCTCCTTTGACCGGAGGTATGTATCCTGAACTGGTGAACTTCCCCCCTTGTGTCCTCTTCTTGCTGTGTGCTGGCATGAGGGCGACATTTAATATCATTGGATTGCTGGAAAATCATTTGGTTGATGATGATGTCCAGGGATGTGTTTCCTCTTCCGGAAATAAATTTCAGTTTTCTTCTCTTTTTATTCGTGTATTTCATAAAAAAATTAAATTTTGCTTATGTATTTTTAATCTTTCTAAATAAAAAAGAACGGCTCCATTAATTTTCTTAAATAAAAACAATGGCTTTATTATATTTAGTTTTTGGTTATAAAACTGTAATATCAATTTTTTCAAACTAGAAAACAATGGCCCCTCCTCCTCCTCCTCCTCCTCCTAACAATAGCTTTAATTCAAATTACATAACAATAGTACGAACTAGTGTACCAACCAGTAACCATCTTTTCTGGTTTCTCTCCTTGAATTTTTTAAAATAATATTTCTCCTTGATTTTTTTTTTAATTATAAATATTTTCCTAAGGAAACTTATACTAGATGATTCCTTTTGTTTTCTTTTGAACCACCTTTTCACGGAAAGTGGGCGGGGACTCTAACGTCAGCTATCACTTGGCATGGAACTCTAACCATGTATCATAATGCCATGTTTTCCTAGTAAAGCTGTGTATTTTTCCTTACCTTTTTTCATTTGGGACAGTCCTTTTGGGATGCTTTCAGTGTGATTATTGTCTATTACTAGTTTTACCAAGAATTTACTTCTGTAGAACTCTAACCTCAAATATCACTTGGCTTGGAACTCTATCCATGTATCATAATGCCACATGAGATTTTTTCCTAGTAAGGTTGTGTTGTTTTCCTTACCACTTCTCATTTGGGACAGTCCTTCTGAGATGCTTTCAGTGTGATTATTGTCTACAACTAGTTTTACCAAGAATTTACTTCTGTAGAAAAATATACAAATGTATATCTAACAGTGCAATGTGCATGCAGAACACGTGTGATGCTCAAAAGAGATGGTGTAATTCTTGATTTGGTGCCTCCTCCAACGAAAGTGAGTAACTTAATCTTTGGACGAACTTGGATTGATTCACCAGGGGAGATGGTCGTGACAAACATGACAACAGGGGACAAAGCTGTACTGTATTTTCAACCATGTGGCTGGTTTGGGTATGGTTACTTCACCTTTTAGATAGTGTTGGATGCTTCTGCTGGAACATTTATGATTTGTTTGCATGCTAGACTGGGGAAAGCTCTTTTCATAAAAGGTTGCTGATCCATCTAGCAAATCCTATGTCCCCCACTTAGTTTACCTCCACCATGGGCGGAGGTGCCTTTTTGAGGCAGCATTTATATATGGTTCTTATTAAATCCATTTAGTATGGTTGAAATCTTCATCTTGTTGTGGTATTCCTTTGTTGAATTTTGTGTGTAAATGCTACCATGGAAATTCATTATTTTATTACATGATCATGTATCAACAAACTAAAAGGCCTTTAAACTGTACAGTGTAGTTTTAGGTTGATGAATCTTGTCTAAAAGTTCAATTTCACATTTAATGAGATCATCACTTGCATATTTTAATAATCTCAATCTTTCTATAAATTATTTTTAACTCTTAAGAGACTTTTGCAGAGCTGGTCGCTATGAGGTGGATGGATATGTATACAATGCTGCTGAGGAGCCCCAGATATTGATGACAGGGAAATGGAATGGATCAATGAGTTATCAACCCTGTGACATGGAAGGAGAGCCACGTGCAGGCACTGAAATGAAGGAGGTTAGTGTGGTTTCTGTCTTCTTCTGATTTTCTAATTAGAAATTTCTATTGGTTATTGTACACCCTTGCTGTTCCCATGTATGACAACCTTTTTACTTATGTCTTGTTTATATTTGGTGTAAGACCATGGGTAGCTGGTTGATTGTCTTTAGACCATATCTTTCTTTATTGTTATCTCGTAGTTAGGTTTGCTTAAAGCTGTCTAATGTTTCTTGGTGGTTGAGTATTTAATATACAGAATGTTTTTAATTCTTATGGAAATGGTTTATCTTTGCTTAGGCAAATCCAAAATTGTCTTTGGTTTGATATGTATTCTTGTTTATGAAATTGAATCTTTTAAGTTTTACAGACTGTCTGCAAATTTTAATGATTTCTCCCTCCCTCTCTTTATTATTAAACAATAATTGAGTTTAATATCAAAATAAAAAAGAATGAGACTTTACTATTTATCTTACAAAGATCTGGATAAAATAGGACATCATCAACACATAAAAGTTAATAATTGAATCCAATGGAGATTCTAGTAAATCACTGGATGTGTCAATTCGCTTAAGGTGTCTGCATATTGCTATTGTTTTTCCCCATTGAAAGTTATCTTCTTCAATTAGTTAGGTTCCTACCAATTTATGATATCTTATAGGTGATTTTTTCCTCAAGTTATTGACCTTTCATGTAGTTGCTCTATGCTAACACTTCAAGTGCTTGAATTACCTGCCTCTTCAACTTTTATTTTTTACATTTTAAGTGTGTATGAAATCTCATTATCATTTTGACAAATTAATCAATATAGATCTACATATCATAATAAAAGAAAAAAAGACCTGCACATTTCAAACACAACACCATGTTAAATTTTGTTAATTTTTATTTAAGAGTATACAATCACATATTTGACGTAGTCTATTATTGGCTTAAAGTTTTATAGTTAGGAATAAGAATTTTTTTATCAAATAGTATGTCATTTGGGTTTAACAGGGACAAATGAAACAAATTTTTAGCTAGTCTTGACTCCTCATATCAGTATTAAATTATGCTTTGATTAATAATGTTTTCTTGTTGGATTTCTCACCGAGTTCTCAGAATTGTTTAATTAGTGTTTGCTAACAATTATTACATGATTATAGTTTTAAAAAATGGTTTTTTTTCTCAAATTTGATATTCCGCCTCTGTGATATTAACAACAAAAAAATATCATGAAAAGTAAAAAAAATATCACCAAAAAAGGTCCATCTACTCTAATTATCAAAGTTTGCTGTAATTTATACAAAGAATTGAGTTATACCAGTTTTAAGGAATAGAAAAGTACTCAATTGAGAAAAAAAAGCAAAATTATAGTGCCATGAAGAAATGCAAGGGTCCTTAACTAGTATATTTTGGCGCAAAGTTACCCACCTTTGGCCAAGTTAGCATTATGCCTATTTTAAACATCTGTTGTCACATGTTATAAAATGATTTGAGGATGTACATGTCATACCGCTTGATTCTAATATTAAAAGGGAATAGCTAGTGGGTGCTCTCAGGGCACTCATTAAGGAGTTGGTTTTGTAGTTAAGTGGTAGTTAATTGCTGTAATAATTTGAGAATTTTGAATTTCAAATTTTATTATAGGTACTCTTTAGTCTTGAATCTGCTTGATTTAGGTAGAACATGGTCCTATTCCACTCACTCTTTTACATCTCTCATAATCCTTCCCTTTTCTTCTTTTTTGGACTTCCTGCAAGTAATAGAAAGGTGCAATGTGTTTAGACTACCTAAAGACCTCATCCATTTCTGAACAACTTTAATACTGTGGAATCAATTGATTTTGCCTTTTTATTTTTTGTTCTGGGCAAAAGAAAAGACAGATTTTTCTGTTATGAAACAAGAGAATTGATAGAAGACATAAAAGTTCATGTATTTTATTCATAAAAAAATAAATCCAAAGATAGTAGTGTAAGGGAATTTTTTGCCGAAAACTGTCATGTTGCTTGCTTTGCCCAAAAAACCTTTTTTTGGAAGTTAGCAGCTACCTGTGTTCTCTTAGTACCATATTTAATGACAAGGGAAGCTCTTGACATAGGAAGATGTTCATTGATCCTTGTTCAAGTTTTTGTACTTGTTGATAACCTGGATTTTCTTGGACAATAGTTTGTGTATTTGTTTTCTCCAAGAAATTGCGTATTAATTAATTTGTAATTTTTTCGGGAGCTGAAAGGATTTGTGACTTCTATTTAAATATTTAAATCACTTGAATATGCTATATGGTTATTGAATTGTAATTAAAGGGTTTCACTATTTCTGGGTTGAGTGATGGCAAGACTTATTTGTTAACTGGGCGCATAGCTCATCATTCTATTATTGCCATTGTTCAGGTATGGAGGGTTGCAGAAGCTCCAAAGAACGATAAATTCCAGTATACACATTTTGCTCACAAGATCAACAGCTTTGACACTGCTCCAAAGAAGTTGCTAGTATCAGATTCCCGTTTACGCCCTGATAGATATGCTCTTGAACACGGTGATATATCCAAGGCTGCCTATGAGAAGAGCAGGTACCATCTCACCCTTTTATGCATGCATGCACTTGTCTTAAACACTAGAAAATGCCAACAGTTTGGCATGCTAAATTGAATCTGGAAAGGCTCCTCCCCAGGAAAATTCATGGTTACATGGATCATGCTTGTTATTGAGTTCATTCTGGTCGCTGAAAAGGGGAATTAATACTATTATTGTGTTTTACCTTGTTTTTAGTCTGGAGGAGAGACAGAGAGCCGAGAAGCGAAACAGAGAGGTCAAGGGTCACCAGTTTACTCCAAGATGGTTTGACCAAACTGATGAGATTCACCCTACACCTTGGGGTGACTTAGAAGTGTACCAGTACAATGGCAAGTATTCTGAACACCGGGCTGCTATAGATAGTTCAGGTAGCATTGAAGAGACTGACATTCGATCTATGGAATTCAACCCATGGCAGTTTCAAAATTTGGCAGCTGAATGAGCTTTGCTGAGATGAAGTTACCTGTATCATATTTTTTTCAATTATTTGGTTGTTCGGTATTGTAGTTTTTAATGTTCTTGACGACATTCCAAATTTGACTTGCAGTTTTCACTATTCATATCTTACTATTTGTTCCTTTTTCCGAGACAAGTTTGAAGTATCTTTTTCCTCAAGATATGAAGGATCAGAGTATTTATTTATTTATCTATCTATTTTTTTTTATTTTTTTTTGGGGGTGGGGGGTGCGGTGTTCTTTATCACGACCAGGGAAGAAATTTCCACGACAGCTTTGAAGAAAAATATAGGATGACCAGGATACGTAGCTTCATTGCCTTCAAGTAACGCACATCTAGCATTATAATCTAATGATATAATATAGGATGACCAGGCACCGTGGGGGTGGTAAGCGGGTGCATACATAGGATTGAACTCGGGTCTGCTGCAAAGCAAGCCTGCCAGTGGACCATAGAGCTAGAACCTCAAGTACAGCTTGCGCGTACCACGACTAATCTCACGGTTCAACTGAACATTCTGCAAGCCCAATAGATAAGTAAGGCACCGTGGGGGTGACAGACAGATGCATATAGAGGATTGAACTTGGGTCTGCTGCAAAGCAAGCCTGGCAGCGGACCACAGATCTAGAACCTCAAGTGTAATCTAATAAATTTTCCCAAGGATAGTTGTGGTTGTTCATGTAAAGTCAGTGATTCTAGCAACACATGTAGGTAAATCATGGCCGTGATTCACACAATGCTTAGCAATATCGGAGTTTTAACTTGTTTATACCATGTTTTCTATATTTTTTCCCTTTTTTATTCAGTAACCAATCTCATTTTTTTCCTGTACAGCATATTTAATACATATTTTTATTATAATCTTATTTATTTATTTTGCCGACCACAATAATTTTTTTTTTCATAGCACCATAAGCTTTTTTCTCCCAAACATGTAGAAGAAATCACCCTTGCACGCACGCACACTAAATATTTGATATTTTTCTTTTAAAAAACCTCTGACAAACATATTATTTTGATATGTTATTTTATATATAAAATTTAAAATGTAAATTAAAAAGTTTATCTAAGCATTTAATAAAATAAATCAATAATTATCAATATAAATAAATAAAAATATTAATAACAACTAAAAGAAAAACTACAAAAAATAAAATAGATGTAGATTAAGATATTTAATATTATAAAATGAGACATTTCTCAAATTGTGCCAACAAAACTTGTTATTAAAATCAATAAAAGATAATCAAAATAGGAATACATGAAATTAAGTGAACAAAAAAAAAGAAAAAAAAAGCAAGGCTAGACATACTATAAATATTATTTTAAAATAATTATTTTTTATAAAATAAAGCGCATAAAAAAAGTAAAAAAAATTCAAAAGTTAAATACAAAACAATTTTTTTTTTAAAATAATGGGATAAACCAATAAAAGTTTTTTGAATGTTATTTTTTTTAATACAAAACAATTGTTCTTTGATTTAAAAATTAATTAATAAAAGAAAAAGTACAAAGCATCTCTTATGATTCCTTCATTCATAAAAAAAACCAACATAAAAAGACAAAGTTGTCTCTAGACTTTTCTTTTTTTAATTTTCTTCTAATATAAAAGTAGAAAGATCCTTTCGCGACCTTACAAAAAATATAAATATAAAGACATAAACACTTTTGCCCAACAATTATTTTTCAACTTTTTTTTCAAGCTTGAAGGAAAATAAATAATTATACTATTTTGAGAAAATTAAAAAGATAAAAGTAACCCTTAGTAATCCTTTAATAACCAATTGATTTTTTTGAAAAGATAAAATTATCTTAAAAACTTAGGGCAACCAAAATTCTTTTTAAAGGATAAAATTGTCATTATTTCATCATAATTCATAGTGCAAAGTCTCTACATCAACACCCTTTATATATATATATATGTTACAGGGTTGGATTTTTCTCATTAAAATTTTTCAGCCCCTATACAACAACCAGACTTAACCTTCCCTCTATCAATCCACTCGTATTTATCTAACAACCAAGTGTTTTCCCTCACCAAGAGGTTTCCTCACACTTTTCCCTGTTACAAGATAAGCAGAACATATAAGTAGAAATGATGTAATGTATACAAACACACAAGTTATTACATCCAAGTGTTTTCCCTCACCAAGAGGTTTCCCCACACTTTTCCCTGTTACGAGATAAGCAGAACATACAAGTAGAAATGATGTAATGTATATAAACACATAAGTTATTACAGGAATCCAACCTTTCATTAACTTAAAATATACACAAGTTTGTCCGTGTGTGCATTATGCACAATGATTTTGCCGACCCATAGAACTTGCATTGCCTGCTACACAATAAATTTATAGCCTATATATTACAACAACATATTAGAAGTTACAATCCTAAAGTTCCAGCATAATTCAAGACATATGTTTCTCTGTTTTGGTCATTTTTACTTATATAAGAAATTACAAAAATCTATCACTAATTGTCCCAAACTACCATAACTCTCTTGGCTTGCCTCCCATAAACCAACTCCCACTATTAACACCTTTGTAGCCATTTCTATTATGCCTCTTCATGTCTTGAACTGTTTGTCATCCAAGTCCCTACTTTGCCAATAAACCGATATTATCGAATTGCTAGATATATACTGCTTCCAAATCTGCCAATGCCCATGCATGTTGCTATTACCGATACATGCTGTCATTCATGCTAGAAATCTTTTTGTCAAGTCTGGAACTGTCCATCATTTAGACTTATCATTATCCTCTACTTTTGATTTTATCGACGTTGTCAATCTAATTAGTGCTGCTGATTTTGACACTGCCCCACTATATCGTTCCAACATTGTTTTTGTCAGTGTACCCCTGATAAATTTAACCCCTTTACAAATCTCCTTCATAAAAAAAAGTTGACATCTATTGAATCTTCAATGCCTAGAAAGCCTTAATAGTCCATCATCAACTAATTTCTGAACTAATCCATGATTATACTTTTCTTTAAGATCTTGCTTTTTTCCCAACATAGTCAAATAAACTTTCGGTCCCACCCAAAACTATCAAGATCAATCGCATTAGTCTCGTTTAGAAAATGATAAAGCTGCAACATCACATTATAACAAGCTGCCATGTCTTTTGAATTTTGTATGCAACTCTCACAAGTCATATACGCAATAATACTTATCTTCTTGGTAATCCCACATGCCAAGTTCATTCACCTATAAGTTATCTTCATGAATCCAGACGCTTCTTACAGTATCATAGAGATCTTGTTCTCTCCATAAAAAACACAATATAGAACCATCTTGAAGAATTAAATAAACCCATAAATTCACCCAACTCTCTTAGCTATCCCAAATGTAACTTGCAAGTATAAAAATAAACAACCCAGTTTTGGAGATCAACATATCTTGTGTCAAAATTCTTTTAACAAGTCCTAATTCTGCCCAAGCACATACAAAACATCTCAACATCAAATCTATCTAACCTAGTCTTCCATATGCTACAATTGCACCCCAAGACACTTTCTTATTGGCTATAAAATTTCGTTGACACAACAACTCTGCTATCCAACCTTTGTCACATGTTTTGGCTATCGAGAATTCCTAACATATTACCCAACAAAGACATATACCATTCTACTTTCATCACCATGAATCATCTGCCATTATAATGCACATAACAACCACTCATACTACCTCTTTTCAAAGACAACATACCAAATCATCTTTATTGATGATTTTAACTCCTCAACCGAACTCACTAACTTGGCTATTGAATCTCTAACCCAAACTTTACATTGTCAAAGTGTAGACTCCCAATACCATACCACTATTGGACTACCTCCCTACCAAGAAAATACACTAAACCAAATCCATTTAGTATGGTTCCTAAACTAAATATTTGCATGATTAGTTACGAAATTCTTCACCCTAATTCATGCCCATTGCCAAGGTGTCTTGAATTCTCGATCTTTCATCATTGTATGGCTTGTCTATTAGCTATAATTTTAGCATAACTATCTTGCTTCCATCACCCTGATTTGTCCATTAACAAAATGTACAAAATAGTCCCCAAACCAGCCCCACCCAAAGCAGTCGGCCAAGCCATCTCCACCACCACAAGGTTTGCCCTTTTTGACCAAATCTTATGCGATATAGTCCTTAGTTCTGTCTTCTTTACATCGTACTGTCCATTGCCAAGGTTCCTTTCAAAGACATCAATTTTTCCTTTATCCAGTTTGGCTAAGCAAATCCTTCCAAATAGCCAAGGTTCCTTTCAAAGACATCAATTTTGCCTTTATCCTAGGTAGTTTGGCCCATGACCAAGTCTCTTGACCAAGCCATAAAATCTTTGTTTCCATCACCTTAAATAGTTCATCGTCAAGATGCACAAAATTCTTAGATTTTGCCTCCATTAAGATTGAACAACCATATGCCAAATCTTCCATCGATTAGGCTGGCTGTTTGGCCCATGACCAAGTCTCTTGACCAAACCATAGAATCTTTGTTTCCATCACCTTAAACAGTTCATCGTCAAGATGCATAAAATTCTTAGATTTTGCCTCCTCTAAGATTGAACAACCACATGCCAAATCTTCCATCGATTAGGCTGGCCATATGACCAAGCATCCAAGCACTTAAGTTAGTAGCAATGCATATGTATGAAATCTACGCATGCAGTTTTCTCTAACACCATCTTCCATATTAACATCGTCAAGTTTTTCTTTTCTTAAACAATCATTCACAAATTAATTTTCATTAAAAAAGTAATATTCCAAAATCTGCCTTCTTGTTTGACCATCCATCATCAATAACTTGTTTGGAGTCAACCCCACCAAAATTTTTCTTTCTCATCTCTCTCACCACAGGTTTAGTCGAGAAATCAATTGTCCATCCGTGATATCTGCACCCAAATATATCTACCATCAATAGTTAAGATAGACGAAGCTAAAACCATTTTAAATCTGATGCTTTATCTTCTTTTTACATCACTCATCAATAATTTAAGTCTCTTTTTACATCACTCATCAATAATTTAAGCCATCAGACTTTGCAAATCCTTAGACATTGAATTTGTCTGACCTTTGCAAATCCTTAGACATTGAATTTGTCCGACCATCATATATATATATATATATTAATTTATTTAAATGATTTATAGATTATAGCTTTAGAGTGGATTTAATAAACA